ATTATTGCCATGTTTTGTTTTGTTCAATCTGGATTTGTTGGCATTTTTTTTTTTTGGTAACCAAAATGTACTAAAAGCAAACCATTTGGCCAAGCTTTGTAATGTGTCCTTATGTGACTTGGTTCGGCGGGACGGCAGATGTGTTATTTATGCAGGAAAAGTTGGAACTGAAATAAGGCAAAGAAAGAGTCTTAGTATACATTATTTATTAGTCCTGGTGCTTTAGAGATTTTTTTTTTTTAAGTATTTTGTTGCCTTGTATTCAGCTGAATCACATCCGACACTCCATGGGGGAAAAAATCCCAAAGCAAATTGGTTCTTACAAGGCAGGTTAAAGGTGCTTGTCAGCTTTCTTTATAAAAGTCTTAAAACCAATTAGCTTTTCACAATTCTGAAAAGAGGTTAGAGTTGCTGTGCTTGCTTAATTTGTTACAGAGGTATATAATTTTTCTTTTTTTCTTTTAAAAATCTTAATAATGTTTACATGGTTTGCCTGCAGATGGCTCATGATATTTCAAATGTATGCAATATATAGTCTTGCAGATGAAGGGGGCAAGGTAGAAAGAGGAAAGGTAAATGCCTTCTAAACCCAAGTATGTCTAAAATGACTGTACATTTCTTCTGTGGAACTCAAGGCAGGGTGTATGTAGTATCCCATCCAGGCACCAACTGGATCAAAGCCTGCTTAGGTTCAGCATAATTATTGCATGATATGCCTTCACTTTATAGTCTGAAAGGACATAAGCAAACTAAAATAAATTTAGATTACCCTTTGTTCATTTTGTGTATACCGTGGTACCTCTGGTTATGTACTTAATTCGTTCCGGAGGTCCGTTCTTAACCTGAAACTGTTCGTAACCTGAAGCACCACTTTAGCTAATGGGGCCTCCCGCTGCTGCCGCGCGATTTCTTTTCTCATCCTGAAGCAAAGTTCTTAACCCGAGGTACTATTTCTGGGTTAGCGGAGTCTGTAACCTGAAGCGTATGTAACCTGAAGCGTACGTAACCCGTGGTACCACTGCATATATACACACACACCCATTCTTAGTGTTCCTCCCATTCAAGTGTCAAATAACCCTTCCTTACAAAACTTGGTCACAATCCACCAGGAACTTCTGTGAAAACCACACTGAAATAAATGAGATCTATAGGAGTGTTATAGAAATATATGCAGCCCTGGATCAGTATTGAGACCTGTGCTTTTTAACTTGTTCATAAACGATCTAGAGTTATGAGCGAGCAGTGAGGTGGCAGCCAGGTTTGCTGTGATGACACTAAGTTGTTCAGGGTCGTTGAAACAAAAAGAGTCTGTGAATTTGGAAAGGACCTCTCCAAACTGAGTGAATGGGCAGTAAAATGGCAAAAGCACTTCAGTGTCAACAAGTGTAAAGTGATGCATGTCAGGGCAAAAAAATCTTAATTTCACATATACACTCAGGGTGTCTGAACTGGTGCTGACTAACCAGGAACGAGACCTTGGGATTATAGTAGTGGCTCATTGAAGACATTGACCCAGCGGCTGTGAAAAAGGCAAATTCCATGTCACAGGTTCCCTGTCCACGAATTAGTGTTTGTGATTGAAAAGAAATGGATGATGGAAGAAAAATTATAGTTTTTACTATGATGCAGTGATCTGGATAAAGTAGCTGTAAATGGTGGCTGTCTAATGACATATAAAATCTGCGAAGTCCGGTACAGTAGAAGGTTAAGGCTGTAGCCCCATGTCCAATGTGAGCTCATTGGGGCTTACTTCTAAGTAGACATGCTTTGGCATGACCTAGTTTCAGCTATCATTCTATTTATATGGCATTAGGCTACCAAGATAGCAATTGCTTTCTCATTAGTCAAACTTTCTTTTAAAGATAATTTTATAATCCGATGTTAAAATAAAAAGCAATGGAAAAGTAGCTTAGCATTGTATTACTCATCTTAGATGTCACTCTTGAGCTTTTAAATAGACTCTTGTCTGTTCTTCATTGCATTGCAGGTAACAGCAAAAAAAAAAAAAAAAAAAAACCATTAAAAAAACACACCATTCCTGAAATGTAAATTTTGATGTGAAATTTCAAAGAAGATCTGAATGATGTGTAGAGGGGCTCTGAAGGGATTATAGAAAAGGACAGAACTGTGTGCTATTTAAAGCCTCAGCATATTACAAAAGGAGATTGTATAATGCGTTACCAGCTAGGGAAAAATCACAATAAAGCAAATGTCCTATGTACCCTTGCTATGTGGGACAACTTTTACCAAGAAAACCATGTGTTTTATCTCATAAAATGTTTTGTATATTTTTTGAAGAATTGCTATTCTAAGCATCTGTCTTTATGGTATTGTAATTTATTTCATATCTAGATTTCAAATATTTTTTTCTCATGGAAAAAATGACAATTCTATGTTTTTAAAATTTTGTTTGGTACTTTATGGCTAGATGCTGGTCTACAGAAAGCTTTTTAGACCCCAACACCCCATTTTTTGCCTCAATGCAAAATGGGACTCACTTTTGCTTCTTCCTGGTAAATTTCTAAGGAACCCTAGCCCTAGGGCACAGGCTAATTTTACTCTAGAATGTACCCAGAGTATCTCAATAGGGTGTATGGAATGTGTATTTTTCTACAATGAAAAAAAAAAGTTTGGCCTTCCATTCAACTTCCACCTCCTATCAATGGCTTCTAGTCATGGTGGCTGTGTTGAACCTCCACTGCTGGAGGAAGTACCATACATGTATAAGACACCCCCATGTATAAGACGACCCCTATTTTTTTGAACCCAAAATTAAAAAAAGAACCCCTAAAATAGAAGTGAAAATCTGGATGATTGGCGATGGCATGTTGTTGATCTTTTTGGGGGTGATTGCCCTCAAAGTTTCCAGCATGAGGTGCATGCAGTGCACTGAGGTGCAGAAGCAAAGGCAGTGACTGGGGCACCCCCCCCTCGGTGGCAGCTGCTGCTGCGGGGAAGCAGGCTCCTAAGCAGGATGCCAAGGGGAAGGCAGCGGCCACTCTGCGTTGGGCCATGCCATTGAGCAAACTGAGCTGAGGAAGGTGGTGAGCGGGCTGGGGGCAGGGTGGGAATTTGAGAGAGGAAGAGGGAAGAAAAGGAAAGAAGGGCAAGGAGAAGTAGCTGAGGCAGCTCTCAGCAGCGGCGGTGGCAGCTGCTCTTGATCCGGTGGTTGAGCCAGCAGAGTCTTCAGGAGGCGAGTCAGTCACCAGCATGCAGCCCAGAGAGGGGGGGAGAAAGGGGGAATGGCAGCAGGAGGGACCGCTTCAGCCCGCCCAAGCCAAAATCCCGGACATATGCTGAAATATTTTAAAAATTCCCCCAGATGCCCATGTTCCATGTACAAGACGACCCCTAATTTTTTACTATTTTTTTAGCAAAAAACATGTCTTATACACGGAAAAATACAGTATACCTCTGAATTCCAGTTGCTAGCATTTTCAGGTAGAGAGAGTGCTGTTGCATTCAGATCCTGCTTTTCAGCTTCCCGTAGGGATCTGTTTGGCCATTATGATGCTGGACAAGATGGGCCATTAGCCTGATCCACCAGGGCTCTTCTTATGGAAACGGCGGCCCTCCAGGTGTTGGTAGGACCCCAGCTCCCATCTTCCCTGACTATTGGCCATGCTGACTGGGGTTAATGGGTCCATCATCTGTAGGACTGCAGGTTCTGCTTCCTTGGTGTATAGGGTTGTATTTCTTTCATGCGAAGCGATATTTGGAAAGACAGAAGCCTTGCTTGGAGAAATGATCTGTTTTGCATGGCAAATGCGAGCAAATCCTGAATTGGAAGCAGCACCTAGGGTTAGATTTCCAAAGGTTAGGTCCACACTTGGGTGCCTCCCTTTAATTGAATTCCAGCAGAATATAGGATTCAAAAATGCATTATGACCTTTTACAAATTTACCTATTCAGCATTTATTAATTCCAAAGCGTGGCTTAAGTGGCCTCATTCTTCAGATAGACATGACCTCGAGTGCTTCACAGAAATAAGGGTTTCAATAAAATAATGAAGGCAACAACAAAAGAGGCAAGAGATCAAGTGGGAACCTGAACCAAATACATGAAACAGCAGTGACAAAGCAATGCTGGGAGCAAAAGCATGCAAAGCTTCTAACGATCCTCTTTGTGCTTTGTAGTAGCATGTAGCAGAATATCCTTTCCCTGTAAAGTAGATGATGGGAGACCTTTCCTTCAAGGTGGGAAACCCAATTTGCCACTCTTTCCCCTATACCTTTTACAGCCACTAAACATTTGTACATCACTACTGGGAAAACCATAGCTTCCCAGTAGTGATGTACAAATGTTTAGTGGCCGTAGAAGGTATAGTGGTTTTCCCAGTAGTGATGTATGGAAGTGAGAGCTGGACCATAAAAAAGAATTGCCGAAGAATTGATACTTTTGAATTATGGTGCTGGAGGAGACTCTTGAGAGTCCTATGGACTGCAAGAAGATCAAACCGATCCATCCTGAAGGAAATCAACCCTGAGTGCTCACTGGAAGGAGAGATCCTGAAGCTGAGGCTCCAGTACTTTGGCTACCTCATGAGAAGAGAAGACTCCCTGGAAAAGACCCTGATGTTGGGAAAGATTGAGGGCACAAGGAGAAGGGGACGACAGAGGACGAGATGGCTGGACAATGTTCTTGAAGCTACCAGCATGAGTTTGACCAAACTGCTGGAGGCAGGGAAGACAGGAGTACTTGGCGTGCTCTGGTCCATGGGGTCACGAAGAGTCGGACACAACTAAACAACTAAACAACAACAACAAACATTTGTACAAGGGGAGGCACCCTCATCACACTTTGTGTTAACTTCTCCCACGGCAAGCTGTGGGGACCAAAACAAAAAAGAGAGAGAAGAAAACCTCATTCTGCAACTGTTCATCATGTTTGTAGTAGGGAAATTTCCCATGCTGAACAGTAAAGTACGGAATGTTCTACCAGAAGATCCACAGAATTATAGGATTGTAGAGTTGGAAGGAATCACAAGGGCCATCTAGATCTTCTGCTCGAGGTGGGGTTTGAACTCACAACCCTGAGATCAAGAGTCTCATGCTCTACCTTCTGAGCTATCCATGGATAGTGATGGCCACCAACTTGAATAGCTTTAAAAGGGGATGAGAGAAAGTCATTGAGAATAACAGCCATTAGTCACAATGGCTTTGTAGCACCTGCAGTGCCAGAGGCAGGGGCGGCGGCTCTGAATTCCAGTTTCTGGAGGTTCCTTGTGCAGAAAAGTGCTATTTGCCCTTATTTGCTGCTTGTAGGCTTCACTCGTTGGCCTCTGTGAGAGCAGAATGCTTAGGGCCACTAGCCTAATCTGCTAGCAGTGCTTTTTATCTTATAGAACACTTAATTAGTTAGTGCCTGTGCCATCTCCACTATGCTTTCCCTGGAGCATATACAACTGTTTTAATTATATAAAGGGGAGAGTTGTAAACAGGTAAGATACATGAGGGGAAGGATGAGTATTTGCTACTATCCTGTTCCTCATTGGGAAGCTCAGAAACACTTTTTTTGGGGGGGTCTCCCTCCAGGCGTTGGTGCACACCCACTTGCTTCGTGGTACTATGGCTACATGTGACCCCATACTGTTATTTGCCATAGATTTATGTTCCAGCACTGAAGAAGAAAGCACACAGCTTAACGCTACATTTCATTTTTTGAAAAAGAATGGAAAAAAGGAGACAGCTTGGAAAGAGGAAAGATTCATTAAGGGGCTAGGAAAGTATTGCATAAGAGGGGTGGTTTCTGATTTTTTAAAATTAATAATAATACTTTTTATCACTTTCTAGCCCTCTCAAAGCAGCTTACAAAAGATCCTTACAATAAAAGTCGCATTCAGGCCTGTTATCCGAAACAGAAATAGCATGATGTCCGTGTGGTGTGCCGAGATTATTCAGTTAGAGGTACATGCATGCAAAAAGTCCCACATATTATCCTCGGCATTCTCCAGGTGGGTCTGGGAATGTCCTGTGTCTGAACTCTTGGAGAGCTGCTTCTGGTCAGTATTGACAATGCTGAGCTAAATGGACCAATAGTCTTACAGTGAAAGGCAGGCTCCTATGTTCCTATATTGTTCTTTTGTAACCATGTGGGGCAGCTGTCCTAGAATGGCTTGAACAGAAAGGAGAAAAGTCACTATACAATTGTTGATGTGAACACATAGGCAGCTCAGTCTGTATAATCCTTTTGGTGCTACAAAGTTCAGATGAAGAAGACATGTGGCTACAGCAGGTGGAAGGGAGAGGCAGAAATACTATTATTATTATTATTATTATTTTATATTAGCAGGGAACGCATGACACTGCTCTGGCATTTGCAGAAATAAAAAAAAATTGGTGGTTTTTTAATGGACAGTGCAATTTGTGAGTTTCTACCTGTCATGCCAAAAATCAGGCAAAGCCACTCCCAAGCCATGTTTTTGGTAAACCAGTTTGATTCAAAGTGGCCCCCGGCATCCAAACATCAATGAAGATGGCCTCCCCCACCTCGGGAAGCCTTGTGCTAAGTTTGGCTACAGGCAGAGTCATGCCATGGTCACATTTCAGTCCGCCATCTTAATTCCAAATGGCAGCTGGTCAACAATTACTATAATTTTTCTCAAGGCAAAGAGGTGCATTTTCAGCATATGAGGGAAACTATATAACTATATAATGAAGGTGCTTGACACACGTCTGTGAGCCTTCAGATTGGCTCTGGAAATTTCCCCACAGTCTTTCCTGCCAGGAAAATTCCCAAGACAGATAGAAAGATGTATTCTCTTGTGAAATACATTAACTTCTAAGTGGTTTGCCCTTCTCTCCATCTGTTCTCCATAGGTTTCATTGCCTCTTGAGATATTGTTGTCAAACAAGGGTTCCTTACTGGAGGAGGCGGTCCAGGTTGTTGACTAGTAGTAGGAGGTTTTATCATATAACACCAATCCTGGCACAACTGCATTAGCTGCCATTTAGTTTCCAGACTCAAATCAATGCACTGGTTTTGACCTATGAAACCTTATGTGTTCAGGACCCCAGTACCTTAGAGATACCCTCCACCCACTGGATCCTCCAAGGGAGGTGCAGATGTTGGCAACAGCCTTCTCTGTCTCTCTCTTTTAATTTCATCATATTAATATAATATTAACATAAGACTCAGCCTTCTCAGTGATGGCTTCCTGACTGTGGAATGCTCTCCCCAGAGAGTTGTACCTGTCACCATAATAGTCATAATCCATACTGAGAGCTGGTGGTAGTAATTGATGATGACAACAATGTTAGGGGAGAATGGTGAAGATGGACAGGGCCTAAATTTTTGGCATATGTCAATACATCCAAAACCCCCAATAGTTCAATTAAGTTTGTGGAGAGGGTTTATTTTAGAAGATTAGGATAAAGTGATTTCTCAACGTCTTGGATTGTGATCATAAAAGATGCATCACATGAATTAATGTAGGGCATTATCTTCCCCTTTCCCTTCCCTCCTTTCTTATCCACTTTAGTTCCTCCCTTCCTTTTGTATCAGTTTGTTTAAAAGGTGGGCGTTGGAGTGATGGAAATACTCCTCCAGTTTCCATCAAATAAGATGCCAAACCCCAAATACGGCTTTGAACTACCTCAGGTCACTTCTGGACAACTTGTTTCCTGAGCATTCATCCAGATTTATTCGAACAAAGCTTTCTGGGAGGTAATACAGTGTTGGCTGCTAATTGAGTATTTATTAATTTTGATTTGCTTGTGGGGAGATAATATGATGTCAAGGGACACAGGTGGTGCTGTGATCTAAACCACTGAGCCTCTTGAGCTTGCTGATCACAAGGTCAGCAGTTTGAATCCACGCGACAGAGTGAGCTCCCATTGCCCTGTTCCAGCTCCAGTCAACCTAGCAGCTCAAAAGCATTCCGGCACAAGCAGATAAATAAGTACCACTGTGGCAGGAAGGTAAACGGTGTTTCCATGCACTCTGGCTTCCGTCAGGTGTTCCGTTATGCCAGAAGCGGTTTAGTCATGTTGGCCACATGACCCAGAAAGATGTGCAGACAAACGCCGGCTCCCTTGGCCTGAAAGCGTACATGAGCACTGCACCCCATAGTCGAATTCGACTGAACTTAACCATCCAAGGGGTCCTTTGCCTTTTTTTAACCTTTTAATATGATGTCACATCAAGCAATTGTTCTCCCACGATTTTCCAGTGCATTTTCCTGTCACTTTCCTTACCTCAAAAAGTCCATTGGGGGGGGGGAGCAAGTTTGTTGCACAAGATCACCAAATCCCTGTTCAGCTGTGGAACCTGAATTTGCTAGTATGCAGTTGAATCCCATATGCTAAATAGCGACTGTCTGGAAGTGCCCACAGTAGGGGGGGGGGGGAATGAAAGCTTTCTGGGTTCTACTGTTTCTTGCATGTTGCAATTTAGCAAAGGAAAATTCATGGGTTGTAATATGAATGCATGCTGTGCACAGAATCATAACAGCTATTTTTGACTGAGGGACAATAGAAATGAGGCTGGATATTTCATGCTTCCAGGTGAGCACTGAGAGTTTCATCTCACCTTGTTAATGTCTGTGGGATGGGTACTATGCTGCTCCCACAGCAGGGATTATCCTCTGGTACAGAGGCACAATGCACTGGAAGCCTCTGCTTTTTAAAATGTATAAAGAACCTTTTTTTTTTTTTTTGCCTCTGTTCTCATACATTGCGGGACTCCAGCAAGTATCTGTGGACCATCTTACTAGGAAATGGGCACTTTAAACTCTATAGATAGTTCCTCACATATGGATATTGAGGACAAGCTATCCCCTCTGTCTTTCTTCTTAAGGAAGAAGTGTAGTGACCCTCAAAAAGCAAATGGCCCAAACTGCAAGTCCTCCTGAATGGCTTGGGTCCAGGATATTTGAAGTATGCCTCCTCCCGTACCAACCTGCTCATTCTGTAACCTAAGGTGGAGAGCTCCTTCTCTGAATCCCATACAGAAAGAGAGACACGGTTGATGGTGACAGATGATATGGTCTTCTCTGCCTAATCACTGCGAGACAGGTGGGAGCAGGAGGCCTGCTCTGTGAAAGTTCCCAGTGCAGCTGGCAGTTCCAGTACATTGTCATCATTGGTGAAGGCTATCCCAGCTTCATGCTGCAGGATAGAGAGGCACAAGTTGGACGACTTGAGAGTACTGTGCTAGGAACAGCCAATATTCTGACATGTTGGACAGCACTAGGCAAAGCTTTTTGATATTTTAATTTCAGGAAAGTATTTTTAAAAAGCATAAGAGGAAATCATGGGTTTTGAACACAGCTCATGAACCTTAGCAGCGATGATGAATAACAGCTAGCTCCAAATTAGCTTTGAGCTCATGATGGGGCAAGGCTGAGTGAGGCTGGGTCGTATTCATGTTCAGGCTAGAAGGTGTTAAAATTGCAGAGCTCGCTGCCAGTATGGAACTTAATTGGGGATCCCAAGAGATCAGCTGGCATCATAAAACATTTGCATCAAGAGTTTTCTCAGAACATTTCACTCTATTAACAAACAATAACACTGGTTTTTTCTCAGTGCACCATGCTGATGTGCAACTTGAGCAATACGCCTTAGCTCCACATCAGAAGGCAGAAGCCTTTATTTCAGGCAGTACAGTTCCAGATTGTCACCTTTGGGTTGAAAATTTTGACCTAGCAATCAGTGAGTGTCGGATACCACAGTTTTACATTTGATTAGAACTTGTGGGATTGCAGTTGATTAACAGCAGAATGGACTTGACTTGCTCAGGGAGATGGTCCATCTTCAGCAAATGCCTTAATCGCCTACAATAAGCCCTAGGGGGAAATGGCCACGGCAAGAAGCCAGATGAATCTGGCAGGAGACACATCCTTGCACTCAGTCACTTAATTAAGTAAACTGAAATTTTAAAATTGGCTGTTCCCAAAAGCACACATTCTCAGGTCATTATTGGCATTTTGGATTGCCTCAATGCCTTACATCAGGTGTGGGCAGGGGGAAGATCAGCACCTACATGGTAGGTTTCTGGGTGAATTGCAGTAGATTGGCAATACTTTCTCACTCCCAGTTGTCTAACAATAGCAGCAACTGCTAGGCTGCTAGAATTAAG